TCAGAAAGATGTTTACCTGTGTTTTATTGACTGTTTTATTCAACTGTGTGGATCATAACAAATTATGGATAACATTTCAAAGAATGGGAGTTCCAGAACTCTTAATTGTGCTTATGTGGAACCTGTGCATAGACCAAGAGGCAGTTTCTCAAACAGAACAAGGGGATACTGCAACGTTTAAAGTCAGGAAAGGTGTGCTTCAGGGTTGTATTCTTTCACCATACTTATTCAGTCTGTATGCTGAGCAAATAATCCAAGAAACTGAACTATATAAAGAAATAGATGGCATCAGGATTAGTGGAAGACTCATTAACAACCTGGGATATACAGACATCTAAATCTTGCTTGTTGTAAGTAAAGAGGGTTTGAAGCACTTACTGATGAAGATAAGAGACTACAATCCTCAGTATAGATTGCACCTCAACACAAAGAAAACAAAAATCCTCACAACTGGACCAATAAACAACATCATGATAAACAGAGAAAATATTGAAGTTGTCAAGGATTTCATTTTATTTGGATCCATAACAATCAATGCCCATGGAAGCAGCAGTCAAGAAGTCAAACAAAGTATTGCATTGGGCAAATCTGCTGCAAAAGACCTCTTTAAAGTGTTGAAAAGCAAAGATGTCCCTTTGAGGACTAAGGTGCACCTGACCCAAGCCATTGTATTTTCAATCGCCTCATATGAATGCCCCCATGCATCTGTCAGTTTGTCATACTGTGGTGGCTTGCGTGTTGCTGTGATGCTGGAAGCTATACCACCGGTATTCAAATACTAGCAGGGTCACCCATCGCGGACAAGCTTCAGCTGAGCTTCCAGACTAAGACAGACTAGAAAGAAGGACCTGGTGGTCTATTTCTGAAAAAACTTAGCCAGTAAAAACCCTATGAATAAGAGCATAACGTTGTCTGATACAGTCCTGGAAGATAAGCCCCTCAGGTTAAAGGCACTCAAAATACAACTGAGGAAGAGCTGCCTCCTCAAAGTAGAGTCCATCTTAATGATGTGAATGGAGTCGAGCTTTCGGGACCTTCATTTGCTGATGTGACACTACTCAAAATGAGAAGAAATAGCTGCAAACATCCATCAATACTAGGAATGTGGAATGTATGAAGTATGAGTCTAGTAAAATTGAAAATCATCAGAAATTAAATGGAATGCATAAACATCCATATCCGAGGCATTAGTGAGCTGAAATGGACTGGTATTGAATCCATTTTGAATCAGCCAATCATATGGTCTACAATGGTGGGAATGACAAATTGAAGAATGGTGTCACATTGGTTGTCAAAAAGAATATCTCAAGATCTATTCTGAAGTACAATGCTGTCATTGATAGGATAAAATTCATACACCTACAAGGATGACCAGTTAATATGACTATTATTTAAATTTACGCACCAGCCACTAAGGTCAAAGATGAAGAAATTGAAGATTTTTTAAAAAACTTCTGTAGTCAGTAACTGATCAAATATGCAATCAAGATGCATTGATAATTACTGGTGATTGGAATTCAAAAGTTGGAAACAAAGAAGAAGGATCGGTAGTTGGAAAATATGGCCTTGGTGATGACGCTGGAGACTGCATGATAGAATTTTGCAAGACCAACTACTTCATTGCAAATACCCTTTTTCACCAACATAAACTGCTACTATACACATGGACCTAGCCAGATGGCATATACAGGAATCAGATTGACTACATCTGTGGAAAGAGACTATGGAAAACCTCAACATCATCAGTCAGCACAAGGCCAGGGGCCAGCTATGGAACAGATCATCAATTGCCCATATGCAAGTTCAAGATAAAACTGAAGAAAATTAGAACAGGACCACGAGAGCCAAAGTAAGACCTTGAGTATACCCTACCTGATTTTAGAGACCATCTCAAGAATAGATTCTACACATTGAACACTAAGGACCAAAGACTAGACAAGTTGTGGAATGACATCAAGGACATCATACATGAACAAAGTAAGAGCTCATTAAAAAGACAGGAAAGAAAGAAAAGACCAAAATGGATGTCAGAAGAAACTCTGAAACTTGCTCTTAAACATAGAGTAGCTAAGGCGAATGCAAGAAATGATGAAGTAAAAGAGCTGAACAGAAGATTTCAAAGGGCCCTCGAGAAGACAAATTAATGTATTATAATGAAATGGGCAAAGACTTGGAGTTCAAAAACCGAAAGGGAAGAACACGCTCGGCATTTCTCAAGCTGAAAGAACTGAAGGAAAAATTCAAGCCTGTGTTGCAATTTTGAAAGATTCTATGGGCAAAATATTGAATGACACAGGAAACATCAAAAGAAGATGGAAGGAATAGACAGAGTCACTGTACAAAAAGAATGGGTCGACGTTCGACCATTTCGGAAGGTAGCATATGATCAAGAACTGATGGTACTGAAGGAAGAAGTCCAAGCTGCACTGAAGACACTGGCGAGAAACAAGGCCCCAGGAATTGACAGAATGCCAATTGAGATGTTTCAACAAACGGGGTGCAGTGCTGGAAGTGCTCACTCATCTATGACAACTGGAAGAGATCCATATTTATGCTTATTTCAAAGAAAGGTGATCCAACAGAATGCAGAAATTATCTAACAATATCATTAATACCACATACAAGGAAAATTTTGCTGAAGATCATTCAAAAGCGGTTGCAGCAATGCATCGACAGGGAACTGCCAGAAATTCAAGCCGGATTCAGAAGAGGATGTGGAACGAGAGATATCATCACTGATGTCTGATGGATCCTAGCTGAAAGCAGAGAATATCAGAAAAATGTTTACCTGTGTTTTATTGACTATGCAAAGGCATTCAACTATGTGGATCATAACAAATTATGGATACCATTGTGAAGAATGGGAATTCCGGAACACTTAATTGTGCTCATGTGGAACCTGTACATAGACAAAAAGACAGTCATTCAAACAGAACAAGGGGATACTGCGTGGTTTAAAATCAGGAAAGATGTGTGTCAGAGCTGTATCCTTTCACCATACCTATTTAATCTGTATATTGAGCAAATAATCTGAGAAGTTGGACTATACGAAGAAGAACACAGTGCCAGGATTGCAGGAAGACTCATTAACAACCTGCATTATGCAGATAACGCAGCCTTGCTTGCTGAAAGTGAAGAGGACTTGAAGCACTTACTGATGAAGATAAAAAACTACAGCCTTCAGTAGGGATTACACCTCAAGATAAAGAAAACAAAAATCCTCATACCTGGACCAATAAGTAACATCGTGATAAACGGAGAAAAGATTGAAGTTGTCAAGGATTTCTTTTTGCTTAGATCCACAATCAATACCCATGGAAGCAGAAGTCCAGAAAACAAACGATATATTGCATTGAGCAAATCTGTTGCAAAACATCTCTTTAAAGTGTTAAAATGTCACTTTAGGACTAAGGTGAGCCTGACTCAAGCCACGGTGTTTTCAATTGTCTCATATGCATAGGAAAGCTGGACAATGAATAAGGAAAACCGAAGAAGAATTGATGCCTTTGAATTATGGTATTGGAGAAGAATATTGAATATACCATGGACTGCCAGAAGACTGAACAAATCTGTCTTGGAAGAAGTACAGCCAGAATGCTCCTTAGAAGCTAGGATGGTGAGACTTCGTCTTACGTACTTTAGACATGTTATCAGGAGGGACCAATCCCTGGAGAAGGACGTCATGTTTGGTAAAGTAGAGGGTCAGTGAAAAAGAGGAAGACCCTCAGTGAGACGGATTGACACAGTGGCTGAAACAATGGGCTCAAGCCTAACAATGACTGTGAGGATGGTGCAGGACCAGGCAGTGTTTCATTCTGTTGTACATAGGGTCGCTATGAGTCAGAACTGACTGGATGGCACCTAACAACAACATTTTTAAATAATGCACTTCGGTGAAGGTTAATGTTATGTGTCAATTTGGCTAGGCTATGATTCTCAGTGGGTTGGCAGACGTTGGATTGATTCTCTTTCATAATGTAATATAGAACGAACAAATCTGTCTTGGAAGAAGTATAGCCAGAATGCTCCTTAGAAGCAAGGATAGTAAGGCTTGGTCTCATCTATTTTGGACATGCTATCAGAAGGGACCAGTCCCTGGAGAAGGACATCATGCCTGGTAAAGTAGAAGGTCAGCAAAAAAGAAGAATACTCTCAACGAGGTGGATTGACACAGTGGCTGCAACAATGAACTCCAACACAGCAATGATTGTGAGGATGGCACAGGACCGGGCAGTGTTTCTTTCTGTTGTATGTAGGGTAGCTATGAGTTGGAACTGACTGGATGGTACCTAACAACAACAACAATGTAATCTAATGTAATTGCCTCCATGATGAGATCTGATATAATGTAATCACCTCCATAATGAGATCTGATACAGTGTAATCACCTCCATGATTAGATATGATATAATGCAATCCCCTCCATGATGAGATCTGCTACGAGCAGCCTATCATATGTAAGGGGAGTTTCCTTGGGGGTATGGCCCGACTGTAGTATATAAATGGATGTTCCTGCAAGGCTCACTCTCACTCCAGATCCCGCATCTGACTCCTCATCATCTGACCTCCAGTTCTTGAGATGTGAGCCAGCAGCCTGCTGTCTGACCCGCCGATTTTGGATTCGTCAGCCCCGGAAACCACATGAGTCAGAAAAAAACCCCAGCCTGACACCTGAACCACAGATTTGGGACTTCCCAGCCTCCACAACTGCAAGTGCCTTGGAACTGTGGTTACCTCCTGACCAAGAGGACTCTAAGTCCAACCTTTGATTTGGGAGGACAGTGGATTCAGGAGGAGAAGATAATAAGAAGATCAATAATTTTCTGGAGGGCAGTGACTCTTCTTGGAGGCTTCTTGCAGAATTGGAGGTAAGAGACAGAAACACTCTATACTGACGTCCGAGTAGGAGAGTTAGGGCTGAGGTCATCATCTCACTTTTTCTAGCTTCTCGATAACCAGGCTTTTCTGAAATTTTCTAGGACTGAAACCATCACTGCAAAATGGACTTCACAGCTTCCCTGGCCAGTCTCCAAGCAGAGGTCAGCTGCCCGATCTGCCTGGAGTACCTGAGAGACCCAGTGACTATTGACTGTGGCCACAACTTCTGTTGCTGCTGCATCCATCAGTGCTGGGAAGGTCTAGGGGACATCTTCCCCTGTCCCATCTGCCTCCATCACTGTCATAATGAGAACTTAAAGAAGAACACCCAATTATGTCACATGACTGATATTGTTAAGCAACTTCCCATCAAGAGGAGCAAGAAGAAACGGCAGAAAGAGAAACCCCTGTGTGAGAAGCACAGCCAGGTGCTGGTTCTGTTCTGTGACCAGGACCTGGAGCTGCTGTGTCCCCAGTGCAGGATCTCCTCCGACCACCAGGATCACTACCTGATGCCCATCGAGCAAGCTGGAACCAGTCACAGGAGGAAACTCAAAAGGTACATTGAGCCCTTGAGGGAGCAGGTTGCAGATGCTAACATTTGTCTAGAAATGCAAGTCTCAAAATCACATGAGTTACGGCAGAAGGTAGAAAATTTGAGAGGAAAATTAAACTGCCAATTTAATCACCTTAAGGATTTACTGGACCAGGAACAGGATATCATTTTTTTGGGATTGATGACAGAAGAGAAGAATGTTGAAGAAAAACTAATTGAGAACAATAGCCAAATTTCTGACCATTTATCCACGCTAAAAAATCTGCTTAGTGGCGTTGCAGAAAAATGTGTGCAGGCAGACCTGGATTTACTTACAGGTATTGAAAGTATCTACAACAGGTATAAAAACCTAAAAATCCCCGGAGTCTTTTCATACAAATTAATGAAGGCAAGTAACTATCTCTCTCCACAATATTTTGGCCTGCAAAAAATGATCAGCACATTTAAGGAAGATTTGACGCTAGATCCTAAAACTGCTCACCCCAAGCTTATTATTTCAGAAGATAGAAAAAGTGTGAAGTACGGACAGATGGAACTAGACTTTCCTTACAATCCTGAGAGGTTTACTTTTATCCCAGCTGTCCTGAGTTCCAAAGGCTTTGATGTTGGTAGGCATTACTGGCAGGTAGAAGTAAGAGGCATAGGTGAATGGTGCTTAGGTGTATGTAAAGAATCTTTTCCTAGAAATGCTATTGGGACACCATCCCAAAAAGATGGATGCTGGCAAATTCAGCAGGAAACACTTATTCGGGATACAGAACAAATCATACGGATTGGCATTTTTCTGGATTATGATTTGGGAGAGGTTACATTTTATAGTTGGAATAACAGATCTTATCTTTATACCTTCACTGATACTTTTACAGAAAAACTTAGGCCTTATTTTTCTCTTGGATCTACTTCAAACTGTCTTACAATCTATGTAAACACAGATGCATGGTGAGCTCCTTCGAAGCCTGATTTGTGTCTTCTTAGCTTTTGTCTCTGTAATTATGTAATGCCTGTAAGATATTGTATAATATAATCCCTGTTTAATTTTTACATAGTATAATTTCAAGAGTTACGGTTTTGTTTTTTCTTTTACTTTTGTCACTAATGCAGAGTTTGCTGTTTGTGTCACTTAGTGAATCTATTAGGAATTGTAATTTGCAATTCTGAAAGAAAAGACCTTTTATTACCATGTTTTTTACCATTCCTGTTGTATCATCACTAATAAACGTATTTTATCACATTTACATGAAAAAAAAATATTTATTTATTTATTTATTTTACTTTAACAAGCAGAAATTTATTTTCTCACAGTTTGGGAGGCTAGAAGTCTAAATTCAGGGCACTAGCTCTAGGGGAAGGTCCTTGTCTCTTTGAGCTTCTGCTTCTGGGCTGTCTTCATGTGGGTTGGCATTGCTCTTGCCCCATTTCTGCTCTGCTTGCCTGTTTTATCTCTTATATCTCAAAAGAGATTGACTCAAGATATACCCTACACTAATTCCATTCATTACCATAACAAAGGCAACCCATTCCCACATGGGATTATAACCACAGGCATAGAGATTAAGATTTACAACACATTTTTGGGGACACAATTCAATCCATAACAACTGACTTCCTCAAAAGTTATGGAAATTAGTACTGGTCCTCTGCAGACAGAAAAAATTATATTGTATAATTGCAACGAAAGAAGTATGCAGAAGATAGAAAGGCAAAAATGACCTACTATGCATTGGTGGCAGGGAAGGGATATTTAATGGGAGCTTCAAGAAGTGATGTTTCAACCAGATGGTTAGGAAAAGGACCATGCCTCCTCATTTTTGTGTCCACTGGGTAGCACAGACTTAAGGCACATAGTAGACCCTTGATAAATGCTTGTTGAAATGAATGACCATGTAGGTGTTTTCTAGGCAGAGGAGGGGGGGAGAGCATTCTGGGTACAGGGAATTTCATGTAAAGGCCCCATGTGATGTTCAAGGATCTGCAAGAAGTGTCAGATAGTATTTAAACATAAGGTGCAACAGAAAAGGCAGGAGAGACAGTTGAGGAGGGCAGACATGAGGGCTTTGAAATAGTGTAGGAAGTAGCACTTTATTTTGTAAATGAGGGGAATGCTTAAAGAGGTTTAAGGAAGCAGGAAGACAAATCTGATTTATGTTTGAGAAAGTTAGCTCCAGTGGAGTGCACAGTATGAAGGCTGGTTTGGGGCTAGGGTTAGGATAGATGGGAGTGAGGATAACCTAGGGCTGGAGGAGCTGTGCTGCATGACCATGTAGTCCAGGTGAGAGATGGGGAAGACCTGCACTCAGACAATGGCAGCAGGATGGAGAAGAGGGAATGGATTCCAAAGTTGTTTGGGAAGAAGCTGACAGAATAGCGTGGCTGACTAGGTTTGAGGGATGAAGGAGGAATCATGGAGGACAATCTCAGGATGACTGGCTTAGGAGATGGGTAAATGGTAGAATCATTAATTGAGCCTGAGAAAGAATAGGTTTGGGGAAGAGGCCATTAATGGTAGGGAGGAATGGCAGGGAGAAGGGCAGCTGTGGATAATAAGTAGACTTTGGTACAGGTTGAGTTTGAGATGGCTGTGGAATATCCTAACCAAGAAGACCAAGAATAGGCAGTTGAGTTCTTAACTTTGGAGCTCAGCATGGCTGTATATACCCTGGGGTCTGCAGCGTGTGGGTGGACATTCAAGTCATAGCAATGGATAATCATAGAGGGACAGTGTGTAGAGTAAGAAAAGACCAGAGCTGAGAATAAAACCATGAATCATCAGGTCTGCAATGTCAAGAACAGAAGACCTGACCTGAAATCCCAGACAAGGGAAGAGAGGCTTTGAGAGGGAACTGTGGTCTAGGAATATGGAGTTACCTCAGAACACAAACGAAAAAGGAATGAAGGAATGCTTCACTGTCAGAAGAATCAGGCACATGAAAATCCTGGTTGGTATTTGTTATGGGTTGATTGTGTCCTCCAAAAAGATATGTTCAAGTCCTAGTCCCTAGTACCTGTGAATGTGACCTTATTTGGAAATAAAGTCTGCAGATATAATAGCTAAGTTAACATAAGGTCATCCTGGAGTAGGGTGGGCCCTAATATGACCCTAATATGACTGTTGTCCTTATAAAAAGAGGAGGCATAGATAGGCACACAGAGACACAGAAGGAAGATCACCTTGTGAAGACAGAGGCAGAGACTGGAGATATGAGGCCAAGAGCCAAGGAATGCCTGGGGCCACCAGAAGCTGGAAGGGACAAGGAAGGATTCTCCCCCAGAGCCTTCAGAGGGAGCGTGGCCCTGCTAATTTCAGACTTCTGGCCTCCAGAACAATGAGAGAATAAACTTCTGTAGTTTAGATACCCAATCTATGGTACTTTGTTACAGCAGCCATAGGACACTAATACAGTATTTCACTGGCAGGAATTGGGAAAAAGATAGGGAGGCCAAGATTCACCACACCGTAAGTCATTTAAACAAGCACAAAACCCTAAGTAAATTAGCTAGTAGAATAAATTGTTGCCGATTTCTTTATTGGGTTAGGAAATACTTGTTTTCACTGAAGCCTGTTTTGTTTTATTTAAAAAAAAAAAAAAAAAAGACAGAGAGAGAGAGAACTTTGAATTAAAATTTATTATTTTCCTTTGATCTTCGTAATTAAGAGATTGGATCCTAGTAGTCATCGTAACTCATAACTCAAAGAACGAAAGGGTTTTTTCATAAGATCATAAGATCATCAGGGGTAAAACAGGATTTCACAAGAAGAGAGATCACTGTGGAAAAATAAATTTTTAGAAGGGGACAGATCCACTTTCTCTTTAGTTTTTCTTTCCCTATCCTCAGGCTCCACCAAATAATCTAAACAAATACCAGCTATCGCCCTGCCCCACCAGAGCTTGGATATGTTTCAGAATTGCCTGGAGGAGGACAATATATTTAATATATTAATATATTTAATTGCAAAACTAAAGACAAAAACAACCAAGTGCATGTCAATTCATCATGATCTCAGAACTCATTATCCGGAATGGGCAGCCAGTAACAATCATTTGGTCAAGGCCCAGAGCAGCTGAAATGCAGAGATTCGAGTGCCAAAAAAGTAAACCTCTCTCTGGTTTTCTCCTCTGCTCCCTGGGATCTGATGTCTTGCTGAGTAGCTGGCCAGGTATTCACATTCTTGGTGCCTTGGAAGGGCCAGAAGCCTTGGCACGCTAGCAATAACACACACACCCCCCACTTCTGTCCTCCCGCAATCTCCCGAAAAGGCTCTTTTACATCGATTGGAATAACAAACTCTGACGTTCTAGAATGAGGCTGAGAATGGCTGTTACGGATTTGTGTCCCGTCCCCCAAAAATATGTGTTGTAAATCCTAACCTCTGCCTGTAGTTATAATCCCATTTGTGGATGGGTTATGGTTGTTATGATTAATGAGACAGGATTAGATTATGTTTGTTATGTTAATGAGGCGGGATTAAGGTATATTTTGAGTGAATCTCTCTTTTGAGATATAAAAGATATTCAGCAAGCAAGCAAGTGTTGAAGAGACAGGGGTTGGGGGGG